TGAAAAATAGCATCTCTGAAAAGCATGGACAGATGGACTTTATACTCAAAGTTTCATATGACTTGACCACACACTGATCATGGGAAGTCGTTTTTCTTATCTAATAAACTTTGTCAAGACCCATGAACAATCCAACAGGACTACATAAAGATGGTGATCAGGATGAGAATTCAGAAAACTGTTGATAGAAAAAGAGCTAGGAGCTGCTGAACTACTAATAACTCTCTGTTGAAACTTGTGCAGAAATAATGGTAAACAACAACAGCACTGGTATGTACAGTGAACCCCCCTGTAATAAAAACACAGAGATATAAGCTTATATTCATGCAGACATTAAAACAGTATTTTTTGGTAGGAATACCAGAGGAGCAAAACACCAGCTGCTGGTAGACCGAGCAGTTGTCTGAGACTGCAAGACCAGGCTCACTAACCGTTGCACTGCCTGGATGCACTCCAAGGAGGCTTATGACTCAATTCTCCACTATTCTGGATCGTGGAAGGTCTAGAACTGTACAAGTTCAACAGGACCCTGAGAGCCTTTATCTGGAACTCAATGGGGATGTGGCGAACAACCAAGGCGCGTGTGTGTGTGTGTGTGTGTGTGTGTGTGTGTGTGTGTGTGTGTGTGTGTGTTTGTGTGTGTGTGTGTGTGTCGTGCATGCGCACTCATGTATTCATTCCACAAATATGCCGTCTGACTGCTCAGACTGAGTCTCAGTCAGATTAACATTCACACACTGTGTTAGGATGGTTACTCAAAAAGAAAGTAAAGTATTACACATTACTGGCTTCTTAAAAGTAATGCAGAATGTTACTTAATTACTTACGGGGGTAAGTACATTTTTAAACCTGGGCTCAAAAACGGAGGTGAAAGACTCTTTTTTTGGTGATTCATAATATTTAGACTGCCCTTTCACATAAAACCTGCCTAATCTGACTTTCAGCTCTAGTTGACCAGTACAGGTTTACTTTAATTGTGTAAATTCTATTATTGTTGGAGGGTCACTTCATGACAGAGGTTTGTATTTTAGTGAATTTAGAAATTCAAAATAATAAATTCTACCCTCTCTTTAGTCTAATCCAGTTCTGCCTGAGAGCCATTTCAGTTCTCCTCTCTCTCTAATCCAACTTTCTTCTCATTGTTGCTTAGATTTTGGTCCAGAATATGCTGCTTGAGGGCAACATCTCCCCAACCCACTGCAGTGGAGAGTCAGTAAAATATATTTGAAGCAGACAACACAAACGATTTTCTCTTTTGTTAAATCACGTTGTTTTTCTTTTGTTTTTGTTTATAATGACACAGAAAATCAGACATGATCAACCAGCAGCTTTGAACACACTAGAAGGGAGGAGACAGAGCTTTGGCTGTGATTTCTATTTCATCACGATTTGGATTAAAATACAACCTTTAGCAACATTAACTGGTTATGGGTGAGGATACATATAAAGCAGACAGACCAAGAGCACCTATAATACAATCAGAATTAATACTCTAGAAAAAATTCATGTGCAGATATCAGTTATTTACATCACATAATCAAATGAATTGATGGACACAGACAAAGAAGTATATTATAGATATCCAGATAAAATTTTACAATAGGTGAGAAGAGTAGTAGTGGATCCTGTTCATTTAAGTCAGCATCAGTTTGCTCCTCAGTCCTTGTTAGAAACAAAACAAAATGCTTTGTATGATGACCGCCATAAGTTTCTGTGATACCTTAATCAGAAGAGGAATGTTTAACTGAACACTTCCTCACGTTTGAGTGTGTCACAATGTGTGTGTGAATATTAACCAAGGTATAAAAATGTTATTCCATTGAATTCCGTCTGTTTTTAAATCCATTATTCTGTTATGATGAATAATCTTAGTCCTCGTTAAAGAAAAGCATGAACAGGCGTGGGTAGCAAACCCTGATCTTTTGGACACAACCAGCTGATCTATGGTTCTGATCTTCAGTCCTGAACATTTCCAACAGACTAAGATTCACTGAGTGTATGATACAGAAGGATAATCAGTGCTGAGTAATGTTTATTTCTGATTACTTGAGCTTCTGATTGCATCTTGTGTTGTGGCTTTAACCATTACATGAGTATACCTACTCTAAAAAGACAGACTTTTCACAGAATAATGTACTGGCTGCTGAGCACAGACTGAAGGTGAAAAGGCTCAGTGGGCCTCTGGTCTTATCTAAGAAATAAAATTCACAAAGGGACAAAAAACCACCAAAGGCCATTTATGAACAGTTATTTTGTGTTTAATTTAAAACAACCTACAGAATTTTAACATTCATCAGTTCAACTATTTATTTCATCTAAATGTACCATTGAGTGACTATATAAATGTATTTGATATAAGATTATTGACATTAGCTGGCAGAGGTTAATGCCAAATCCAGGACAACTGACTCAAATAACATCAAGCAAACCTTCATTCAGACTGAAAACTGTTCAAAAGGAACAAAATTCAAAGTGTTTATAAACAAGAAGGGGAGACACACAGGCAAACACGAGAGACCAACTATTAAGGATTAAAACCTTCAAACGCTAAAAGAAGAAAACTCAAACTCAGATCCACTGATTAAAAGACAACATTTAAAGTGAACATGACCGCAATACAACACAAAACAAGTCCAAATACTTTCCTGCACATTACAGTATGTATGACTGAAGTCACAGCCTCCATATGAAGGTATATTGAGGTTCAGGATTTTTCAAAAATGCTGTAAATGTTAATGGTGTTTGTAAAGTTCTATATTTTCTTTAAATGAACTTTGTTTGCAGTAACCCTGAACTGAGCTGGAGCTGCTTTACTTTGTGTTTTTTCAACGTCACTTCAGTAAAACCTGAATGTTGACTTCTTAAGAACGAACCAATTTTATCTGATTGTTTCCAGTTAAAGGGAAAAACAGTGTCCGATGGGTCTAAAGTTTCATACAGATCCATTTAAGTTGTTTATCACAGAAACAAATGTTCCACTGCAGAGTTACTGACTGATAACTGTGTATTCAGTCGATCAATCTCTAATCATGTGGATTTGTCTTCAAACACAAGAGTGATCAAAAGTTTGTCCTGAAGAGCTGAACATCTGATTCAAACATTACAGAGCAGAAACAAACAGTAAATTTGTTAAAGGAGGAAATAAAGTAAACTTACAGTTTCTTCAAACACACACACAAACAACAAGCTCCACTCCACACCTGGACACTAAACATGGACACACAGGTGAACTGCTTCCTACAAGGAAGTGGGATTCCACCTGAAGACTGAGAGAGCCACACCTTCATATGCTGATTTCAAAATATGCCGTCTGACTGCTCAGACTGGCTCAAACCGAGCCTAAGTCAGCGTAAAGTTCACATGCTAACGTGTGAAGACATGAAACGTTGTTGTAGATTGCAAGTGTGAACACGCTGATCACCGATCAGCTCTGCTATATTTAGAACATGAACATTTCTACTGCAATGCTTTAAATGTTCAACATGTTTCCCTGTTTCCAGTCTATAGATCCAGTCACACCTTCTACCTTCATCTGTGCAGAGCAGCGCTGAAACCAACCGTCCAATCAATGAGCAGCATCAACCCCTGAACTTCATTCAAACTCTGTTATTGAAGATGTTGTTGTGTGAATAAAATGAGTGAAATGATGTAAATATTCAAACATGTATCTTGCAGTGTCAGGGTTAAATTAAAGCTTTGTGGGCAGGTCAGCCAATGAGGATGGTGGCCCTGAGCGCTGAGCCAAATATGTGAAACGTGTAGCTAGCATCAAAAATCAAAAAGAACTTTTCAAAATAAGAGAAATTTACAGTTTTAACTGTAGACTGTAGATCTGTAGACTTTGAACTATTGTAAATACCACAAACACACCATGTAAACATGAACATAGTTGTGCACATGCGAACTCACCCTAAAAAAAATGAAAGATTGTTCCTTGTTAACAATATTGCGTGCAGAGTTGTGGAAAGCTTTTATGCTTCTCCAACTGTTTTTTCAAGTTCAATATTAAATAATATTTATTGTCCTTTTTCTCAATCATTTAGGAGACGCGACTCCAAATATGAGACACAAAAACTCAAATGAGAACAAAAATCAAACAAATGAGAAAAGGACTCAACTTCTTGTGTGTAGAATGAAAACAGAAGGAACACATCAGGTTTCAAACACTTTATAAATTTATTGCACAGTTACATTCAGGGACCTTCTGGCCTCCCAAGCGCTGTCTCTTTCTCTCCTTTTGTGTTTCAGCTCAGCCTCAAACAAAAAGGTGTGAGGGTTGAGCTGTGTGGCAGTCAAAGTGGTACCCTTAAGGAGACAGATGAGGGAGAAAACTAAGGAGAAAACATTCAGGTGGTTTGGTAGATGGCCGGCGTTGGTGTCACTTGGCAGGTGCCTCGAGACAGAGCCCTAGAGCAGCTTGGCTGAAAGCTCTAGCAGATTGTTACACGGAGAAACCTTTTTAAATACAAGCATCCACACAAGTGTGCACACAGGTGTTCACTGTTCATAGACACAAACCGCACCTTTCCTGGCTGCTACCTCAAAGCACATTGTGCGCTGTTGGTCCTATGTACTGCACAACAACATTCAATATTTAGTATTTACTGTTATTTATACTTAGCTAGATTAATGCGATGGTGTTGTGTTTATTATGCTGCTCTCTTTTTTTTGCTTCTTTTCTCTTTTTTGTCTCAACAGGTGAGCCGGGTGATTTTATTTCTTTTGAAGTGCAACCTGAATATTTGAAACAAACTCAGTTAAAGAAACAAACAAAACAAAACACAGTGCTAAAAAATTAATCAGTTTAATCAGATTAATAAAGGGTTACTGAAGTACAAACTTTTCTTAAGTTGGCGTTATTGTCTTCACAGATGTGGCAGATGTGACATAAAACATGCTGCTCTTTGCGCATATTTAATAATCAGCTCTGCACAGGAACTGAAGGAGAATCCAGCCTGTTGCTTTTACAGAATAATAATAAAAGTACAGTAATGGCAGTTCGTTAGTGACTGAACAGCTCTGTGCTTTTCTCCTTATTTCTGTAATCAGAACAAGTAATGTAATTACAAAAAATCCTCTCTGGATTGTTGGATTGTTGGATTGTTGGATTTACGGTTTTCGGCATGAAAATGAATCGAGCCTTGACGGTTCTCTCACAGTGAAGCTTTTATAATGATTCTGTGATTAAAAAACACAGTTCAATACAAAAAATGCTGGTTTATTAGTGTAATCACCTCAGAAAGGTTGGTTTGTGAGTTTTGGAGAAAAAGCAACACATCATTCGCATAGAGACTGATTTTCTACTTTCTTGCATTTCATGCCCTTAATTGTTGTAGCCTGTGTTGAGAAATCAGTTTTACCCCGGTTCTTTTATTCGTCAAAACTTCCAGAGACGGCACCGGAACACAGTAGTCATTTCACAAAACCTTTATTCATCTTCATTTAAGCATGCACTTCTAGAAGGGAAGACAAGGCTGGTGTGTCCCTCTGCAAATCTTCACTCCTTTGTCTGTGAAACACAGTTTTATAGGGGCAACCCTATCATAAAACCCCCACGGTGTGCTGCAAACTCTGTCTGTGTCTATGTGCACGAGCGCATGAATGCCTACATGTGCGCGTTCCCACGTGTCTATGTGAGTGCTCGTGTGTGACTGTGTACGCATACCTGTGTGTATGTGTGAGTGCACATGAGTGAGTGTGCGTGTGGATGTGTGTGCGTGACAGTTAAAACACTGTGGGTGTAGGTGACACCCTAGGTCATAAAACCCCATCTCCCTTCCAGACCACAGTTATCCAATTACAAATGTTGAGACCCCCACCCAAACATTCTCTGGGAAATTTCCACTCAGCATTAACTCCTCTCTGTTTTACTTTCACAGTTCAAGTGGGGGAGGGGTCTCCTACAATCTACTCCTAAGTTCACAACACAGTGAGGCCTTTATTATATTGAGGGCAGTGTCAGTATCTCTACAATAGTTCTACATTCTATGTTAACACATTTCTAAACTCTAAAATAAGCTAAACATTCCTACACCTGTCAAATTTCTGCTGCTAGTGGTTCAATAACGATTGCAAACAGTGAAGGGGAAAGTGGGCATCCCTGCCTGGTGCCCCTCAGCTGGAGGATGTTTGGTCATTTGTTCTGATACAAGATTTTGGGGAATTATATAATATTTTAACCAGTTAATGAAAGAGGTTCCAAAATCAAATTTGTGGAAATGTGCAAACAAAATTTTTCAGTTAACCCTGCCAAATGCGTTTTCTTCATCTAGAAACAATATTGTGGTTTCAATGTGTTTACTGCATGAGTAGTCTATTAAATTAAGTAATCTACTTGTATCTGTTGCTGAGTGCCTACCTGTTATGAAACCAGTTTGGTCAGGATGAATTAAAGGGGGGGGGTATCTTCTCTAATCTTTTTGAGAGAGCTTGCAGATTATTTTGAGGTCTACATCAATAAGGGATACTGGACGATAGCGTGAGGGAAATATAGGGTCTTTGCCTGGTTATAGCAGGAAACTAATATTGGCAGAATTCATATTTGGTGATAGTCTGCCATTTTCCTTGATTTCCTGCAACATTCTATGGAATACAGGTGCCATAATTGTCAAGAATTCTTATTTTAGAATTCTGCTGGAAAGCCGTCTGGACCTGGAGCCTCATTATTGGGCATTCTTATCAGGGCTTCCTGGAGTTCACCTGGTGTCAGTGGCAAATCCAGTGCCATTGCTGTCTAGTGATTTTGGAAGAGTTACATTGTCAAGAAACTGATCAATTTCATTTTTAAATTATTTGCGGTGAATATAACATTTCATAGAAATCCCTTTCATAGAAATGTATTCTTTCAGGGTCATATATTATGTTCCCAGATAAATCTTTAACAGCACATATAGTTGTTGTTGTTGTTTTTTGGGGTTTTTTTGTCACAGTTCTGGGTCATTTTCAGTTTCTTAGATTTTGGTATTTTTCTGTATTATGATTTATTCTGATTCTTTAAGTTGTGCGTTTTGATTATTATTTTAGGTTTAGTTAGTGTCAAGTTTGCGATCTTTGTGATTTGTTTCTTGTTTCCTGTTTGACTTTGAAGGTCCAGTCTATGTCAGTGTATTCAGTTTTACTTTCCCCTGTCTCGTTAACCCTAATTTCTCCCAGCTGTGTCTCCCTGCTGTTTCCCATTTCCTGATTAGGTCTTTGTGTATATAAGCCCTGTGTTTTCCTTTAGTCTCTGTCAGTTCCAATCCAGTTCTTCCCGCCTAGAATGATACGACCACTACATGGCCCCCGCAGCCCTCGCACTGTCTGATGAGCTTCGGGAGGATATAATTTATTCGGTGAGTAAGTTGTGTAACCTGTGGCTGGATCATCCAGAGGAGTTTCAGTGTGCTGTAGCTAGTGATGGCCAAATGAAGCTTTCTGAAGCATGAAGCTTGTATTGAAAAACGGTTCATTACTCGAAGCTTTTCAACACAGTCCTCTCTGGTGACATCTGGTGGCCAAAAATATGAAGAGCAGCTTGAATCCACAAAATAAAACCAACTGCTTCATTAATGATTGCCCACTCTACAGAGTGGAATTCTGTCTGATATTGGGCCGCCGTTGTGTTGCTTTGAACTATGTATTTTTTGGTGTTAAAAAAATGTGTTTATTTGTTTAATAAATATTTTGACCAGTAAACTCTTCTTGTTTAAAATGCACCATGGTGTGGTCTTTCTTTGCTTGTGACTTCTTGATGTTGGTAAATACAATAATTGAAAAATACCAATTACATATAATATACATATGATAATGTACAACACATTATGGAGTATGCTTCTGCTGTGAGGTCCTGCCTCCATGCACTTATGCAATTAATCCGCTAGACGGGTATATTTATAAATAATATTATATTAGGGAAATTTTCCCAGACATATTTTTGACCTGGGGGTAGAATTGATTGTGAAATGGAAAGGAAAATGCTTATGAACTTGCAAATTAAAAACATGATGCATTTAAAGTAACCCTTTTTCATTTTTATTTAAAGAAGAGAATTTGTTCTAGTGTGCGATGGCCGAACCTGTTCCTTTTCGTGGAGATAATTTCTCCTGCCTTAAGGAACATCCCTTCACATGGCAACAGAAGAGGCTGGAGTGCAGAGAAACTGGTAGAGATGCAGTTATACAGTCTACCTGGGCCCCACAAACTATCAGACTAAAGAGAATAAATAAATTCAATTGCTGCACATTTGGCAGACTAACATTTTCAGATTAATTAAACAATAAAATATATATTTTTACAACA